AGAGAGAGAGAGAGAGAGAGAGAGAGAGAGAGAGAGAGAGAGAGAGAAACACAAACAGATTCCCCTGGACATTAGGAAGGGAATGGCATGGTAGCTCCTCCAGTCAATAGGATCAGACATGAAATGTCTATAATTAGGTATAAAACAAAACCAAAGGAGGAATCCGGGTGAGTGTGAAGGGTCAGGAGTCTTCAAAGTGCATGGCGGTCTCTCCCTACTCACCCAGCCAAGAGGCTCACAGAAGCCTGGCCTGAGTGTTTCCAAGTTCCAGCTGCTCCTGTGTGCTCTAGAGAAGGCCGCTTCTAGCTGGCGCCCTCACTCAACCATGACCCTTCATCATTCCGATCCACCAGTGACAAGGCTGGCCACTTGCCCAGCTCCAAAGCTGATCTCTGTTTATTTCTGACTCTAGGAAATGACAGAGATGTTCCATGATAACCGTATTCTGTGTCGTTATTTTAAGTATCTGATTTGTGCTGTCTATTTAGTACAGAAAATTACTCCACCCCCCCAGTATCTTTGATCAATCGCCACTCTCTTCCTCTTAAGTTCCTATCGAACATCCGCCAGTTCTTTCTCAGCCCCTCCTTTAGAGAGTACTTGGTCAAGAGGGAAAGAAGCTGGCATTGTTGAGCAAACAGGAAAATGCCATCTTCTTTGGAGAGGACAAGGCAACTGTCACAATCAGACAAAGGGCAAAGGAGGGGGTCACTTGAGGGGAGGCATATGAAGGCAGACCACATGCAAAAGGGCAGCAAATTCAAGACTGTGTGACCACACTGACCTAAAGAACACAGGAATGAACATCTTAGATTTTTTTCAATATGCCTGATTATAACAACGATCCTGGGAGATTAAGAATGAGCTGCATTTTTTTCAAGGCCAAAGAAATTAAATGACTCACTGAAGTTACCTCTATGAAGTCTTAGCTCAGTACATGGGGTTCGTTACAGACTCAACATTTACCAGCAGCAGGAACTCAATAAAGAATTGTTGGGAAAATATTATTGGTCAAATGACAACCCTCAAACCTGCTGCCTGTAGCTATTTCCACTGCTAATGGATAAAATTGGCCAGTGCTACAACAGATTTATTCTGACTTCAAGATGCAATTTGCCTGTCTGTGACGGCCAGCTTGGGTGTTACCCAAGAACCCCTCTGCCACTGAGTGAAGGCTGTATGGAAAGAGTAAAGAGAGGGCCTAGCATCTTCTTTCTTAAGCTAATCCCAATGGGTTGGATCACATAAATCTTAAAAAGCAAATATGGACCCACACTTACAGAGGAGACTTTTTAGATTTGTTTATTTTATGTGTGAGTGGTTTGTGCAAATATGTCGCCCACAGAGGCCAGAAGAGGTCGTCAGATCCCCTAGTGCTGAACTTAGGGATTGTTAAGAATCACCTTGTGGGCGCTGGGAACTGAACCAAAGTTCTCTGCAAGAGCAATACGTACTCCTAACCACTGACCCTCTGTACAGGCCCAAGGAGATACTATGTTTTAAATTATCAAGTCTTAAGGCTGCATCCTAAGCCTAACAATAAGAGGAGAAGTGACAGATAAGGGTTCTGCAGGATTCTTTAGATCATCCTTTTGTTAGAAGTCACATATATAAAATACAGTATGACCATGCACAAAAAAGTCAAAGAAAAAGCAGCTAGCTGTACCTTTGTTGTTTCCTCCTAATAATAGTGCAACTTTTAATCATTTATGACTTATTTATACCTATTGACATATTGAAACAGTGATGCAAGCGGTCACAAGTTTTCTTGCATGGCTTTAATAAATACCCTTATCATGCCCCACAATGCTCCTCAAGGCATGGGACTCCAAATGGATGATGTCATGGGCTTAGCGAGTCTTTCATCAAAATTTCATTTTTCCATCTTTGCAATAATAGCTACTGTCAGGTAAGGCCATGTAACCTTCAGTTTTGCAGACATATTGGAGATAACAAGGCATGAAATTGCTTCACAAAAGAAATCATTTTTCTGATTCAATAAAAGATACTGGAGTTTGAGGAAGCCCATTCAATGCCTGATCTGAATGAGAGGGAGCAAAGAAACTCTTTAATGTCAGTCAAACTAGTCTTAGGGTGAGGTATGAGTTCTGAGAAAGGGTAAGAAAAGAACTCACTTCAAAAGAAAACCGAAAGAGTAGTTGGCCACAAAAGAAACTTCCTTATTTTTATTATTCCCAAGAAAATAGCATACTGACCCCAGATTTGGCCACCACGCCACCCAGCACTGAAAGGATAACTCGGTACATCAGGTTTATTATCTGCCAGGGGCAAACTTGTTCCTCAAGCAAAGCCACTGACTGGGTAGAAACAGCACATGCTGGGTGATGATTTCCAAAAAGACAACGAAAAAGTAACATTCTTGACAACACTGCTCAAATGTTTGATTTTGCTTGCTATTTATTTATTTATTTTTGCTTGCTTGCTTGCTTGCTTGTTTGTTTTCCCAAGACAGGCTTTCCTGTCTTCCACTGGCTTTAAACTCACTATATAGCTGTGGATAAACTTGAACTCCTGAACGTCCTGCCCCTAGATCCTGAGTGCTGGGATTGCAGGCATGGGCCGACACAGTTGGTTTATACAGTAACAGACTTTGGGGTGTTGTTCATACTGAGCAAGCACTCTATCTACTTATCCACATCCCCAGCCTATAGTGCAATTTTGGGGGACCACTTCTGTTCAGGTTTCTTCTCACAACCCATTAAGGCAAGAAACAGAACTGTGTTTCTAAAAGTGAATAGATTCTTGGCGTGGGAGGTCCTTCTGTTTATCTGTTGCTTTTACTGGTTAATGAATAAAGAAACTGTCTTGGCCTGTGATAGGGCAGAGTAGAGCTAGGCAGGGGTAGGGGGTGGGGTTAAGTTAAATGCTGGGAGAAAAAAGGCAGAGTCAGTGAGAAGCCATGTAGCCGCCACCAGGACAGACCCCTGCACTGGAGCCCGCTGATACTTTGCAGGTGGGTCACAACCTCATGGTGATGCACAGATTAATGGAGATGGGTTAGTTTAGGATATAAGAGTTAGCCAGAAATACGCTCAAGCTATTGGCCAAACAGTACTGCAAATAATACAGGCTTTTTGTTTGTTTGTTTTTTGTTTTGTTTTGTGTGTGTGTGTGTGTGTGTGTGTGTGTGTGTGTGATTATTTTGGGAGTCTGGGTGGCTGGGAAACAAATAAGCAGCCTCCCCCAACAGATATTTTATACTTTCTCTAATAAATGTGTTCATAAAGATGTTTCTTCTCTTTGATTTGTACAGTGGAGACAAACTAGAATTGACAGCACAGTTTTCAAAACAATTAGACTAGAAGGAACCTGGTTCCAGATGTCATTGGCTCCTCACTAGTGCCCCTTGCTTCAAAGTTCAGTTAGAGCCAGAACCATCTGAAAATTTGTTGGAAATGAGAAATTTCAGCCCCCTCCTCAGAGCTAAGAAATCAGAATGAGCTTTTCTTACCCCCTGTGGTCTTGATGATTTTTATAAAAGGGTATATCCTGAGTGAGAGCAACAAGAAGCTTAAAAGGGATTAGTGGAGGGTCCGGGGAGGGGGGTAATAAACTGGATCAGCCTTGGCCACTGGTAGCTGGGCACTGATATGCCAAGTCTGGGTAGCCTAGCCACTTCCAGAAGGAAGCAGGCTCTAGATACATGCAGAATGAATAATACAGTATAATATCATATGTGCCAATATAAGGATAATGAAAGAGTGTGTGCCCAGATTCATAAATGTGCATGGCGTTATAGGAGTAAATAGAAGTTAACAGTGGTTATTTCTGGGTTAGATAAGGGATCCTCTTAATATCTTTCAAATGTTGTACCAATCGTATGTATCTCTGATATGTTTACTGCATTGGCGGGTCAGGACTTTTCCCTCCCTTCCTTTCAGAACTACTGGCCCATGGAGAATGCACATCTCAGGGGAGGGGTCCCGACACAAGCAACCAGCACTCCCTCTTCTCCAAGTAAGCGAGGGGTGGAGACTATCACAACCACTCTTGAAAACCACTGTCAGAAGCCAGCCAGGGTGAGCTGCAGAAGGTTGGGAATTATTTTCCCCAGGGACAGAGGTGACCTAGCATTTGCATGCTGCAGGGCGATCTCACAACTTATCAGTTCTTCCAGAACCTCAGGGTCGCTGGCCTGATCTGTTGGGTTCTAGAATTACCGAGTCTTGCTTCAAAACAAACTTCAGTTTCTGGAGGTCATTTTTTTTTTCTAATATTCCCCTGTCCCGCTAGCACACGGATGGCAAGAGGCATTCAGTGCTTCTGTCCCAGTTCAGACGGAGGAGAAATGATGCTATGAAGTGGTCCTCCTTCTCTGACAGTCTGATTATTGATTATCCGAGTGTCAGTTGGCTTCTGCCATAAATCCGGGTGACACGCGACAGCCACTGTGTGCTCTGGTGGTGAAACAGCAAACACAGGAACACGTCAGGGTGACCTAAGGCAGTCCCGGCCAAGACCACCTACACAGCGACAGCTGCTGCTGGGGGAAGCGATTTGACTGCTATTTGAGTCTGCTATAGCTTCACGGCTTTCAGATGTGCAGCTTAAGCATGGCAGCGCTGGTGTTTCCAGCAAGCTACAAGTCACTGCAAATTAACCCGTTATCTTTAGAAGACACTTGATGCCAACCTTGGAAACTCATCCCCCTGCACCACGCAGTTATCTCCCTTACGGGTTGTGAGCAATCACGAGGCAGCCCTCTGAAGTTGGCCTCTGTGTGGGTGGCAGGGAGTGAGCTGGGAAGGCGGTACTTGTTTTCTACCAGAGAACACAGGTCTGGTTTTGATGCATTCCCTAATGAACACCCAGGGTCCGTATGCTTGTATCTTTCCAGGCCTCAGACTTCTCACTAGCCCACCCACCCCAGCAAACAAGGTAGATAGTATCAGAGTTTCCTAAAATGCACCAAGACCAAAAACAGTTGAACAGAAGAGGTGGTGCCCAAGAGATTTCTCAATCATGCTGTTGTGATGGGGGCTATGGCTTTGGGTGGCTTTTGGGTTTTTTGTTCCTCCCAAGGCCTACCTGCCCTAGGCAATGCTTAGCAAGTGCTGGCTGAAATGAACAACACCTGTCTTCATGGCAGCTGCCCAAAAGGAAGAGGAATAATTTCAATATTTAAAAGAATTCAATATGAAAACCTGTGGGCTCTCCAGTTTAAATATATTCAAAATGCACAAGACATCATTATTCTTTTAATGAATAATTCCTCCACAAATTCCTCCACAGTTTAGAGGAATGTGTGGTTCTTTTCACTTGGAGGGATTTAGAATTTATATGGATGGCGGTTGGGCATGGGAGGCAGAGGCAGGTGGATTTCTGTGAGTTCGAGACTAGCCTGGTCTTCATAGTGAGGTTCAGGATAGCCTGGGCCACATAGAGAGACCACCTCAAAACAAACAAACAAACAAATTATAGGGATGGTTCCAGACTAAACAACCTCGCTCAGGGCCTTTAAGTTTGGGCAGACTGGGAAGCAAGTCCGCCAAGAGTGAGCCATTGCGTCTTCAGGACTAGGGGAACATCCTTGCCCGGCTTCACACCACACCTCCCAGATCTGCCTGTCATCCAAGAGAACAAGACGAAAAGCCACGCCAGGTGCCTGCATCCATTCATCCATCCATTGCATTTTTTTTTAAAGCAAATCAGAATGGTTTGAAATGGTGTGATGAGGGAGAGCTTGGCACAAGTGACATCCATGGCGGCTCTCCGTACTGGGGTGGGGAACAGGCAGGGAGAAAGAGCAGTCAGGCTGCGAGTCTGAGCTGAGCGGTCCACGGCTGAGCTTGAAGTAACATGTAGTCCCTAGCTGCGAGGACTTAGAACCGGTGAACACAGGCTATAGAGAATTAACATAAGGACTGCAATTTTCACCTTTAGGCGGAGTGTGTATGCATACCTGTATGTGTATCATACATGTGATCATACATGTGATGCATATGGAAGAAATATATTCTCAACATTATACTACATGGTGGGTAGATAAAATTAACCCAACGGCACAGTGGCTTTATTGTCACCAACAAATGAACTGTCTCTGCAAGTGACAGAGTGGGACTCATCCCATAGGGCTCTCGACCCACTAAGGTGAACTTCATCCCCAGAGAGTTAGCAGACAGCAAAATGATCAATTTTCTTTAAGTTTAGAAAGTCACTCTGACTCCGATATGGTTTAAATGCCCATGTTGCCCCAAACTTCATGCTGAAATTTAATCATCGACAGGGCAATTCCTTGAGGAAGTGATTTACACACAAGGACTCCATTCTTGTGAAGGGGACCAGTGCCCAGAACATCAACTTCAGAAAACTCCCTGGTCCTTCATCTGTCTCTCAATCGTCTGAGTTCACGGTGCTCACCCCACCTCTGCCATTGTGAGGATGCTGCATGAAAGGGTCAAACTCATCTGTAACTTGATCTTAGACTCCCAGCCTCCAGAGGAAAAAGAGAGACCTGTCTATGGTTTATCAGTCAGCTCAGCTAAGATATTTGCTATAAGTCGAACGGTGGGGGGTGGCACACGCCTTTAATCTCAGCACACGGGAGGCAGAGGCAGAGGCAGAGGCAGAGGCAGAGGCAGAGGCAGACAGATCTCTGTGAGTTCGAGGCCAGCCTGGTCTACAGAGCTAGTTCTGCAGATAGTTTAGGATAGCCAGGGCTACACGGAGAAACTCAGTCTCAAAAAGGTATTTGCCATGACAGCTACATAGAGCAAGGTAGCCAGCCAGCTACAATATCCTATTGTATCTTTTAGAAAGGCCAACATGTTTCACAGTCAGGGAAGATGGCAGTGAACAATCATCATGGTTTTCTTTAAACTGGAAGCCATTGATACAACACCAAAGAGCCAATGGATTTCTTAGTAACGATTCTGTAATGAACACAGATTTTAGAGTTGACTACCTGTGCTTAAGGTCACTTAACTATATTTAAGCTAAGTCTAGATATATGATTTTGGACATATAATTTAACTATATTATATGCTTTGTTTCCATCTAGAAAAGAAAAGGAACACACATCGAGAATAACAAATGGAACATTCGATAAGACTTTCAGACAGGCACTCGACACGCTGCAATTAATCAGAACACGGTTCCCGTCATCATGGATCTATACACAAAGCATGCCCATTTAACAAATGCTTACTATGCTAATCATAAATCCATCCTTCTTCAATATCCGGCCTCCATTTCCACCAGAGCAACACTGAAAACCGATCTTCTTGTATTACTGGATCCCACCCACCCTGATATGAACGAAACCAGGCACAGGGCAAATGCGGCCAAAGTCTTAGGTAAGCGGGTGAAATAATATTGGTAATGTTTAAAAACACTTTGAAAATAAGTCATGGAATGTGTGGTGTTCGTTGTGTTCCTTAAGGATCAAAAGGAAGAGAAAAGGGGATCCTAAACTTAGATACCCTTCTTTTTTCCATAGGATATAAAGGAAATGATCAGTAAAAGATATTGAAGATTCATTGAAACTAAATTGTAGTTTGCCATCATGAGAAGATAAAGCACCACTTTGGACCTATGGCTGCCCACACTCACTCGCCCCATCTAAAGCCAGACAGAGCCTGCTCACAGGATTCTTCCTACTAACATGCTTTAGAAACTAAGAGTGGGCTTTATGTAAAGACCACAGAAAGCAGTAAGACTTCGATGCCTTTTCTGATCTCACAAACGTTTGGCCCCTCAACAGCATACAAGGGAGGATGCTGAGTTTCCAGCAGGTTGCACGATTGCACTCTGAGGGTGAGGTCCTAAGGAGGAGGTGACCATCTGCCATATAGTCTGAATGTCCCCACCAGGACGTCACATTGACATTTAATGCTCAGTCTGAAGGATTAGGAGGTAGGGCCGCTAAGAGGAGACTGAGCCACAAGGACCCTGTCCTCCTGGGTGGATAAATCCACAGGCAGATGGCTTACTGAGAGCTGCTTACTCCAGTCACCATACCTCGGGGCACTGCAGAGTCCCTATCAGCAAGGGGGTTCTCACCATGTGTGCCCAACCCACCCCCAACTCCGGCTACCTCAACCTTCAGAACCATTTTTTTTAAACATTATTTTTAAAATAATTTATTTTTACTTTATGAGCATTGGTGTTTTGCCTACATGTATATCTGGGTTGGATCCCCAGGAACTGGACTTACAGACAGCTATGAGCTATCATGTGGATGTTGGGAATTGAACCCAGGTCCTCTGGTAGAGCAACCAGGGCTCTTTAACCACTGAGTCATCTCTCCAGATCCTAAGTGATTTTCTTTTTGATTTTTTTCAATACAGGGTTTCTTTGTGAAACAGTCCTGGAACTCTTTCTGCAGACCCCGGTGGCCTCGAACTCACAGAGATCCAGCTGCCTCTGCCTCCAAACTGCTGGGAATAAAGGCATGTGCCACCACCACCCAGTTCAATTTTTTAAAACATTTTTAAAAAATTTAAAAATAAATTACCCAACCTGTGATGCTCAGATATAAGCAGCAGAAAACAGATCAAGAGTAAGGCCAGTAGCGACTCCGTGAGTAAAGTGTTTGACACATAAGCAAACACGAAGACCTGAATTCGATCCCCAACTTCTCCATAAAAACCCAGGCACAGTGGCCCACTCCTCTCATTCCCGTGCTGGGAGGTGGAGCTAGGCCGGTCCCAGGGGCCTTGCTGGACTGCCACTTCAGTCAATATCTTCAGGTTCAGTGAGAGGACTCGTCTCAAAGAAGTGGAGAGGGATGGAGACACGGAACACTGATCTCCAGCTTCTGCACACGCACCACACACATACATGAACACATATGTGCACATACATACATGTATGTGCATAACCCCAAACAGACAAAGACAAAAGACCAAGAGTGGATATTTCAGACAGGGAGATGATCAGAGGAGGAGAAAGAATTGCAGTCAGGCAAAGAAGCAACACCAAGACTTGGAATTAACCAGAAGGGCCAGGTTCCCAATGCAGGCACCTGGCACAAACACCCAAGCCACACAGAAGGCATACTATTACCAGAGCAAGAGATTTGTAGGCAGAGAGATTCCACAGAGATCCTGTTCTTTGTGAGAAGAAACAAACAAACAAACAAACAATCTATCAACTGCTCTGAAATCAAATTCAATGGAAAAGTGTCTGCGGTATAAAAAGCACCCCACCCCTGTAAAGAACCTTACAGACAATGGGAACAGTCAGTCTGTATATTTCAATAAACCAAGCCTTTTCACTGCCTCAATTCTCTCTGTAATTTATACAATTTTCTCCCCTGGACATGTTTATCAAATCGTTTATCGTGACTCCCAGAGGAAGATAAAGGGATAATTTTATTTTAGAATAGCGTGTCCTATAGTGCTGAGAGCTGAAAAGTCCACAGTTATTACTTATGCTCAGCCATTCTCAATCAGAGCCAATTCTACCTCATCTTTGCCATCACTCCCTTTCTCCATGGCTCCGCATCTAATCAAAGAGTAGATCCTAACACCAGTTTCTCTTTATTGCTGCAAAAAAACACCCAACAAGAGCAATCCAAGAAGGAGAGGGCTTCTTGCTTTGGGCTAACAGTTCCAAGGTGTGGTTGATCATCGTGGGGAAAGTTACGGTAGGAGCTGGACGTAGCCGGTCATACTCTGCTGGGATGGACAGCTGCTGATGCCCAGCCCCCTTTCTTCTTTTCATTCTGTCCAAGAATCCAGCCCACGGAATGGTGCTGCCCACATTTAGAGAGTGTCTTCCTACCTCATTAACTGTACGTGCCCGTGGTTTGGTTCCATGGTGGGTCTGAATCCTGTCCTGTTGACAGTCGAGATTAATGAGTTAATACAAATACGTGTTAAGCAAAAAAAGATAAGGACAATTTAAAAACATGAAAATAACACCACTCTTATATAAAAGCAACAATAACTGGACTTTAATGTTTCCAAGATGGTGTCTAATCCTTAAGTTTCCAAATGGTTCAACATCTCTCTCTCTCTCTTTCACACACACACACACACAAACACACACACACTTTAGACAAACTGAATGTGAGTTTTCCTGAGTAAAGAGTGATTTGTAAGTTGGACAGCACCCAGAGGCAAAAAACGGTCCAGGGGAACTCTGCCCCACAGGATGAGGCGGGGAACAGTTACAGACGGAGAGTGGAATGGAGTCCAGAAACCCTGCGTTGCCTGGAGCCTGGCACTGCTTGTGCGGGCATGGCCCGATCAGCCCATAGCCTGTGACTGGCTGAAACTTAGCTGGTGTGGTTGGCTGAGGCCAATCTGTTTGTTACTAAATATACTCCAAAGTTTGACCTTCCAGTGTGTTTACCTGCTAAGTCGTGTTGCTGTTCTTTAAGAAGCGAGGTCTGCGTAGAAGGGCAGCCTCAACCCAGAGTTTCCTTTCATGGTTTTGTTTTACAGGTTGTTAAATCATGATTCACTCAGACAAGATTCATTAGCCACTAGCTAATGGGGCCTTCTTTCTTATTACATTCTTCTAGTATGTTTGCTACATTTAAAACGTTACATAGTTACTAATTTAACATGGACTGCAGACTCTTGTTTTCATTTAGTAAGTCAGAGGAAGGCAGAGTCCCACGGCTGAGAGCAGAACGCTGCTGGGTCCTCCACTGCTCAGGATCAGCAGAGCAACGGGGGAGGGGGGGGTAAATAGTGTAGCAGCCACAAGATGGGCTTCCCCTGCCCCCCAGAAGGCAGCTAGGCAAGAGTGCGTTAATATATAAAATGATTAAAGAAGTACTATTACAGAACTGGAGAATTCCCAGCAGGACGACAACGCAGATGGCAGTCCCAAGGGCTGTCAGCACATCTCAGGGTCACGGGGCTGTGGATCTTGCCTGATCCAGGCCTGGTTACAAACATCTGCCTTCCCAGAGGATTGCTGTGGGCGCTGTGCTCACATATCTACCGGCTCTCTTGCTTGTTCTCATTACAAATATAACCCAAGCCATAGATTACTTGGCAAATCTAATTAAATAAGCATCAACTGAACCACACAATCTCACCATGCAGAAATACCCGCCGTTCTGGTCAGGAAGGGACCTTCGGTTCTAAGTCAAAGATCTAAAGGGAGCTTCTTAAGTAGCAAGGGAAACTAGATGATCAGAAACTTTAAAAGAGGTCTGGGCTGTTGGTAAGGCGTGATACAGGAAATGAGCGATGTCACCCAAAACCTGATTTTGCTCCATCTCTCGGATCGGACTTTCTCGGTATCCATTCTCATCGTGGGTGTGTAACAGCCATTACCTACAGGCCCTAGGATTACAAGTGTCTTCCTCACACCAAAGAAGGAAAATCCATCTATAACCCAGCTGGTCCTGGTGAGGCTAGGGTAAATTATCTGGCTACCTTTGAATGCCTGGTGACAGAGGAACACACTGTATGAACACGCTTAGCCTTAGCCTCTCATTCAGGCACAGTTGGCCTTCCCTAAATATGGGTCCTTCAGAAACAGTGGGTCCTTCAGGAAGATGCAAGGAGGCGTGCGAGGGAGGTGACAGATGACATTCCATGGCCGCCCTCTATATTTGCTTTTCTCTGATAAGACCCTACCATTCATTACTAATTTTTGCAAACTTGGGGGAGAAGATATTTTCAACTCTTCAAGCACAGGCTGATGCCTTAGACTCGGCAGACACCGCAAGCATTTGTCGAGTCGTGTAGAAAATGATCGAAAAGATCTTAAAGGTAGAAAACCCAAACATATGAACGAGCCACTCCACCTGCACTAAAAACCACAATCTGTATTTGCACAAATGTTTGACACTTTCGGTTGGCTGTGCAAACATGGAGCCCTCGGTTGTTCAAATATTTATCATGTTTCCCTGCCTCTGCTTGTAACATGAGACAAAGAACCATGTCACCGTATGTCAAACTCCTAGAAACAGAGAGTCGAAGGGCGGTTACCAACAGTTGGTACTGGGGTAGAGTAGCTAGAAACAAAGAAACGCCAATCAAGGGTACAGAGAATCCTTGAGATAAGAGGAATAACCTTTGGGGAGGAATTACACAGGACTGCGGCTGTAATTAATAGCAGATATTTTTAAACTGCATGAAAAACAATGTTTGGGGTTAGAGAGATGGCTCAGAAGTTAAGGGTATTTGTTGAGCTGGGTATTATATCACGTTTTTTCTTTGGAACCACTAATCAACTAGCTCCCAAATTATGACACAGAGACTTATTAATTTTGAATGCTCTGCCTTAGCTTAGCTCTTTTCTGGTCACCTCTTTTAACTTAAATTAACCTGTTTCTCTTTATCTACCACTTGCAGTGGGGTTCGTTGCCTTTATTGCTTCTGTATATCTGACTTTCACTGCTTCTCACGTGTCTAGCTGGCTGGCATCTCCCTGGCTTCTTGTACTGGGCGTGTCCCTCATTCTCTCTGCCTCCTTCTCTTGTTCCTCTCTTCCTTCTCTCCAGCCTGGATTTCTCCTCCTATTTATTCTCTCTGCCTGCCAGTCCTGCCCATCCTTTCTCCTGGCTAGTATTGGCCATTCAGTTCTTTATTAGACCAATCGGGAACCTTAGGCAGGCAAGGTGCAACAGATGCAGCATAAAGAAAAGTAATACACCTTTAGACAGCTGAAGTCATATTCTGCAGCATAAACAAATGCAATACATCTTTGCTTGTTAATATTGCACAACAGGGCATGATGATGCACGCCTTTAATCCCAGCACTTGGGAGACAGAAGGAGGAGGGTCTCTCTGTGAGTTCAAGGCCAGCCTGGTCTACAGAGTGAGTTTCAGGAAAGCCATAGCTACGTAGTAATACCCTGTCTCATAGAACAACAACAACAAAAAAGTGCTTGTTGCTTTTCCAGAGATCAGAGACCAGAGTTTGTTCTCAACACCACCATAGTGGCTCACAAGCATCTGTCATCCCAGTTCCAGGGTATCCAATGCCCTCTTCTCTTCCGTGGGCACCAGGCACATACACACATGCTTTGTACATACTTACATGCAAGCAACACACCCATACACATACATGCAATTTAAAAAGGATAGCATGTAAATATTCTCCCACAAAGGATAAAGGGTTATGTCAATTACCTTGATCTAATCATCTCACCAGGTAACCACCCTACCCCATAAATATACACAGTTGTTGTCTCTATCAGTTCAGATTTTAGAAAAGGCATCATGACAATGCCAGCTTCTTAACGTTTCCTTAGAAAGTCTACAATCCACAGTACTTGAATCGGCTGGTTGAACTTGATACCACCCACTGATTTGATTTCTCATGGGGCTCTAAACTTTGTTTTACAGGTTTCAAGCATGTTGAGATGGCTTCTGTTCTGTTCTGTTCAGCTCTGGGTGTGGTATCTCCAGGTCTGCTGTTCAGAGGACATGACTTTTGATCCTGCTTAGCTTTTACTGAATTTTGGGGCTCAGAGTCCCATGTGATGGCATACACCTGTAATCCAGCACTGGGGAAACAAGCAGGAGGACCTGGAGTGAGAACAAGACCCTATCCCCAAGGCAAGCAAAGCAAAGCAAAATAAAACATGCCCCTGTCTCAGGGAAGTTTGTCAATAGATCAGTATCTGTTGAAAGTGGTTTTCAACTGCCTTTGATAAACATACCCTGATCTGTCAGCCTTGTTTCTACCTTTTGGCCTTAAAACTGAAAGGAAATTTATCAAAACCCATCTCCGGAGGCTGGAGAGATGGCTGAGTGGTTAAGAGCACTGATTGCTCTCCCAGAGGACCTGACTTCAATTCCCAAACCCACTTGGAGGCTCATAGGTATCTGGAACTCCAGCATCAGGGAATCTAATGCTGTCTTCTGACCCCCACAGGTACTAGACACACATGTCGTACACAGACATACACTCATATGCATAATAAAATAAATAAAAATTCATCTCTTGGCTTTGTTTTACTGCACAGGCTTGAATTGCCTTGGATTGTACCCTTCTTACATTATGTTGTCTCAAGACTGGTAATTCATGGCAATTGTCCCAGGCCTGGGATCTTTTTAAACACACGGAAATGTCTGGGCACTGTTGGCTATTTTTAACTCTGCCACTCTGCCACTCTTCAGTTCAGTCCAAAATCCTGGGGAGATGTCTCCCCTCTTCCAGATCCTTCCTGCCCAGGAAACGACGCTACAGGTGAGCGAGGACTGGCTCTGAGCTCAGCACGACTGCCCTTTCCTCACTGCATGCAACAGTTCCCCTGAAGCAGACGCACAGTGTTGGTGACAGAACTTGGGAGCTCTCAAGGCTGTGGCTTCTGTTGGCTCGTCTCGAGCTCATAGGTAGCTATCAGTCCCCATCTGCTGCTTCTCTCAGCTGTCTGCAGTCAGGTGGAAACCTGAGTCAGGTCCCGGATGGCTACATGGGGACTGATATACTGTTAGACTGATATACTGTTAGTTCTCGATGTGGGCAGCACAGCAGAATCATCTGGAGAGCTTTGAAACCACATGGGTTCTGGCTCAGCAGCGCGCAGGTACGTTTTTATACATTATTATTATTATTGTTATTATTATTATTATGTTTGTGAAGTGATTCATTTAACGTCATGACGTCAAGGTCCCAAGAGGCTACAGGAGGGAATTCCTTCTAAAAGTGAAATACAGTCTGCGGCTTATCTGCGCTGCAAGTCAATTCATCCCCTGCAGCAGAGGGTCTGCCACGCAGTCCAGGGGACATGCTTGGCGCTCCACAAACCACATCTGATCCATTCAGCAGCCCTGTGAAGCTGGCGCTTTTATTGTCCTCATTGAATAGATGCAAAAAAATGAATCCGGAAAATGTCAGGTAAGCCATCCAGGCACACACAC